CTTGGGCGCTCTGTCAGCTCTTTCTCTCCCTCACTCCCTGACAGCACCTCGAGGAGGCGCAATGGAGCTTGCCTGTCACTTCTGGCCCTTGAAGAGCTCAGGCCGGTCTGGTCTGATCAAAACCTAGATGAACTGTCTTCCCGCCCCTAACACAGGGCTTCCCTCGCCCCGGCCGTGCTGGCCTCAGAGGCCTGCTCTGTTCTTTTACTCTCCTGGCTCCACCCCTCCTGCGCTTCGCCCCTTACCTCCCTGCAGTCCCACTCACCGGGGGATGGAAAAGGGAGGTGGGAGAGCGCGGGGATCCGACAGCAGAGAAAAAGGCAAGCTTCTTTTTCCCTAGCCAGGCTCCTTGTGCTGCCCTCTGGCCGCTGGTGGCCCCTGCCGGGGCGGGTCCTCGCGTTCTCCACCCAGAGTGCACCCGGGGGGCCTCAGGAGACCGTCTGGGGACCTGTGCACTGCCCCTTCCCCTGACAAGGACGACGCACTCTGGCCAGGGCCGAAGGCTTCCATCTCGCCCCTCCCTGCCCACTCTGCCGCCTTTCCTTTGCCCTGCACTTGGATCTCGGGCCCCACAGGCAGCGACTCGTGCAGCTCCCTCCGGAGGCCTCTGCTTGGCCCCGGGCGGGCAGCCGTCCGAGTGCAGGCTGTTGGCAAAGCCGCCCTCTCTCACCCAGCCATGGAGGCTCAAGCCAGCCTTTGCCTTCAGACTTCTCCAGTTAAGAGGCAGGCACCATTTCTGTTCCACCCACGGGACAGTGGCAGTGGCTGGGGACACCATCACGGTGGCTCGCGCTCCAGGTGCTGCTACTCTGGTGGCAGCTGGAAGTGGCCCTGGGAACGTCTGCAAGCTGGGGAGTGATGTGCCCTTCTCTCCTCTCGCAGACGACTCCTCTCTCTGCTAGCAGCTCTGCCTGACCTGAGGTGGGCAGGGGAACATGCAAGGGGCCACTAGTGTGGCCTGGGCGCTAGTGGACGCCCATCACATGGACCCAGCTGTCAGCTCCCAGCGGGCTGCGTGGTGCACCCGCACCGGGACCCATCCCCGCCCCTGTCCTGCGGGGAAGGCCGTGGACACGCCGCACCCGCTCTGCAGGGCCTCGCCCTCTGCCTCTCAGAACCTCGACCTTCTCTTCCACTGCCCGCTTGGGGTCATGGTGACTGGACCCGTTCAGCTCTCCTGCAAGTCCTTCATGGATGTGGCCAGGACCTCGCTTTAGGAAGAACACCCTCTGGCAGAGTCAATCCAGCTTATACTGGGTCAAGGGTAGGCTGGCGGTACGTTCCCAGATATGCAGAGGAGACACTGAGCCCTGTGTCACTGGAGGTGATCGCGCTTGATATGAGATACCGTAGTTAGGACTGAGTGAAAGGTGGGACGAAGAGTCTTCATTACTCTGTCCATTATTTGACTATCTGTAATGAGTTACTCTTTACATCTTCCACCCAGTGCATCTCAGTAGCTCTAAGTTTTCTGCAGTATCCATAGAATAAGCAGTGACAGGATAGGAAAAAAACGATTTAAAAAATCGGCCAATGTTCAAGATTTGAATCCCTAAAGCCATCCTAACAGGCATACTTCCCACCCTCTAGAATCCACTCTGCCTCACACTGGCACCAAAAGACCTTGGAAAAGCACATTTAAAATCGGATCCATTTGCCAAGCTAGTGGTGCCTTTCTATTACCCACCACACTCTGGAGAGGCAGCCTGTCTGGGAAGTTGTTTTCAATTCATCGTGCATTGTGTGGTGCCCTTTCCCATAGAGGAAACCTGCTCATGTAAAGAAGCAGCCACCGTTAGGGGGCAGCACTTGTACTGCATCTTAAGCCCATCCTGATTCATGAGGCAGCCCTCATCCCTCAGCCCCCTGAGAGCAGTACTGCTTGCTGGGACTCAAGCTGCCTGAGCATTTACAGGAAAACAATTTGTTAACCCCAATCTAGGTGTGCGCTTTTCAATTTTTCAACTGACATTGGCAACAAAAGCCTCTATAGAGCCTATGCACCCAGTTCCAATTAAAACACCTTTGCAAATAAACCAGATTACATATTCACAGACTCCTACAATGTCCGGGTTCCGAAAAATCAAATTCCCAAAGTGAATTCCTCAAAACTAATCTGAAATGTTACATATTTAAATTAACTTTTCCTAAGAATGGAAATGTGATATAACATAGTCACTTACAAGGTGAAATTTAGGTACTAAGAGGATGTAATAATACAATGAACACAGCGATGTATAAAATCTGTTGATCAAAAATGACAATAAGATAAAAAGAGACTAGTTGAGGGGCTAGCATTGTGAGACGACCAGCGGCTGTTTTCCTTATATTTTTCTCTTTTCTTTCGTTTTTGAAAATTGAGGTATAGTTTTATGTACAATATTATATGTTTCAGGTGTACAACACAGTGATTCACAATTTTAAAGGCTATAACTCCATTTATAGCTATTATAAAATACTGGCTATATTCTCTGTGCTGTATAATATATCCTTGTAGCTTATTTATTTTATATATAGTAGTTTGTACCTCTTAATCCCCTACCCCTATCTTGCCCCTCCCCCTTCCCTCTCCCCAGTGGGAACCACTAGCTTGTTCTCTATATCTGTGTGTTTCTTTTCATTATACTCACTACTTTATTTTTTAGATTCCACATATAAGTGATAACATACAGTACTCGTCTTATTATTTCACTAAGCATAATAGCCTCCCAAGTCCATCCGCGTTGTTGCAAATTTTCATTCATTTTTTCGGTTGAGTAGTATTCCATTGTATGTATATGTATATACATGGATGTGTCTGTGTGTGTGTGTGTGTCTGTGTGTGTGTGTGTGTACACCACATCTTCTTTATCCATCCTTCTGTTGATGGACACTTAGGTGGCTTCCATGTCTTGGCTATTGTAAATAACACTGCTGTGTACATTGGGGTGCATGTATCTTTTTGAGTTAGGGTTTTCCTTTTTCTCTGATATATACCCAGGAATGGAATTGTGGGGTCATATGGTAGTTCTATGTTTAGTTTTTTGAGAAACCTCCATACTGTTTTCCACAGTGGCTGTACAATTTACGTCCCCACCAATGGTGTACGTGGGTTCCCTCTTCTCCTTATATTTTTCCTTTTTTATTTTTTGGAAGGCAATCTTCTCATTTTAATTTTTTTTTTTTTTTTTTTGTGGTACGTGGGCCTCTAACTGTTGTGGCCTCTCCTGTTGCGGAGCACAGGCTCTGGACGCGCAGGCTCAGCAGCCATGGCTCATGGGCCCAGCCGCTCCGCGGCACGTGGGATCTTCCCAGACCGGGGCATGAACCCGTGTCCCCTGCATTGGCAGGCGGACTCTCAACCACTGCGCCACCAGGGAAGCCCTCATTTTAATTTTTAAAAGGTTATTATAAATTGTTTTGGAAAGAATGCTTCCATTTAAAGGCATAAGATAAAGGCAAATATATCTTTTCTAAAAATCTATAAAACAAGAGTAAAGTTCACGTAGGGCATCATTTTGTTTTACCTTACACCTCCTTCTTTTAATTTTTTGAATCATGTGAATATGTTACGTATCTTAAAGTACATATGTGTGAAAAAATACATATGTGTGTTGTGTATATATGTGTGTGTTTGTGTACACGCAAATCCACATATCATATGTTTATTTTGCTCCCCAAATTTTACTCTTCTGTTTTATCCCTTATATTCACAGCCCATGCATAATACATTGTGGGTCTGAGGAAGACAAAAATAGAAACCCTCTCTGCCAAGTTCTCAATAAAATTAAGACAAAAGAATGAAGCAGACAGGAGACCAAAATAAAAGGCAAATTTCCTTCCTAATTTTAAAAATATCCTGCGATGAGATAAATTCATCTATAGTGACCCAGGCAGAGCTGAACCGAGGCAGGTATCGCCATATTCTGGTGTACTATGCAAGATATTTAACACCTTAGGATCTGGCACCTACCAATCTAAACAGTCTACAGCTACAGACAGCACGGACAGCTGTGTGGGTGTGTAAGCTTGCCCAGGCAGGGCCTGATTCTGTACTTAGTGTGAGGGGCAGCACAGAAAAATGCATGCTGAGGGCAGGCCGGCTCCTCAAGAGAAGGGAACCCATGCCCAGTTTATCCCTCCAGCCCACCAATCAAATCAGTCATTTCACCTCTCAAGGGAAGAGTGAAGTAAGGGAGTAGAGAGAAACCAGGAGTGTTACCCTAATCACAAATGGAGATGGAAGGAAACATCACAAATAGGGAAGATTCCTTTGGAAGAACAGATTCAAATGTAAAACTATTAAAAGTTGTACTAAGGCTTTGAAGAAAATAAACAAGGTGCTATGATAGATACCAACAGTGCAATGAACCTATACATATGTAAGTTATTTTCAAAATGAGTGCTATGCACTTATCCCCTTGCCCCCCAAGTTCATATATTGAAGTCCTAACCCCAAATGTGAATGTATTAATATTTGGAGATAGGGCCTATAAGGAGATAATTACAGTTAAATGAGGTCATAATGGTGGAGCCCTGATAGAGAGGATTAGCACCCTCATCCAAAAAGGCACCAGAATGCTCACTCTCTCCCCTGCCACTTCCCCCTCAACAAAGAAGAGGTCGTGTGAGCATACAAAGATCTGGTGTTGCCTACAAGCTGAAAGAAGAGGCCTCAGAATGAAATCTACCTTGTCAGCATCTTAATCTTCAACTTATATAACTTCAACTTATATAATATATATATGCAGAGAGAGAGAGAAATGTAGAAAGCTTATGACATGTAACTACAAATTTTTATATTTATCTTCATAGTGCCTATTGAATGAAGAGCATTGTTAGAACATGATATAAACTGTAAGCTGAGCTAGATTATAAAGGTTCTTTTTAATGTTGAATTAAAATGTGGGTCCCTTAAAAATTAGATGTATACCTTATTTTCAAGATTGAGTTTTGAATTAATGTCCTGTCTCAAATAATACTTGCAAACAATCAATTTAGACTTTTCATTGCTTACTTACTCAGTTCCTTCTCTGTTGGGAACTCTTCTCATGGAGAAAGCCACCATCGCTTTGAAGAGATATTCTTCATTTGTATCCCAGGCGTACTGAAAGAGAAGTAAAACCGAAGGTAAAGTGAAGAGGCATGGGGTAAAAATTGGTCCACTGGGTTCTAACTGTGGCCACACTGGTGTTGGTGTGTGTCTGTCTGTGTCTCTCTCTCATCTTCCTCATACAATAAAGACTGGAGACCATGATAAATCATGTCACCATAATGTTCAGGATAGAGTTTCCCGGCTATTCTATCATTGTAAGTGTGGTGTGTTTCCCATTGCATTATCTTCTTCCAAATCTGCAGTATTAGTAGCCAGTCAACAAACAGGTCACTTGGACATCTCATCCTGGACATAAACAGTTGATTCCCTTCTTCCCTTTCACCTTTCCCTCATAAACTGACTCCCCTTCTCAGCTTCCTTCCCTTTATTAACACTGGTACAATTTTACTTTTTATACTCTTAGCTGAAAACTTGAGTGTATGTGTGTATTATGGGCTGAATTGTACCCCCCTACAAAGAAATTCATATGTTAAAATCCTAACTCCCCAGTACCTCAGAATAGAACCATATATGGAGATAGTGTCTTTACAGAGGTGATCAGGTTACAATTAGATCACTAGGGTGGGCCCTAATCCAATAGGACGGGTGTCCTTGGAAGAACAGGAGATTTGTCACAGACACATACAGAGGGAAGACGTGTAGACACAGGGAGAAGACAGCCATCTAGAAGCCAAGGGGAGAGCCCTGGAACACATCCCTCCCTCACAGAACTCAGAAGGAACCGACCCCGCTGACACCTTGATCTTGGACTTCCAGCCTCCAGAATGAGAGAAAAACAAATTTCTGTTGTTTAAGCCACTCAATCTGTGGTACTGTGTTACAGCAGCCCTAGCAAACTGAAGTGGCTGACCCCACATTTTAGGTGGTAATCAAGTGTAACTGGAGAAAATCACAAAACAGGTTCTGTGGCTTAACTCTAAACTCATGATGACCTACTCCCAAATTGCCCAGGATCCCCTTAGGATTCTCCATCAGTTTTCTCTCTCTCAAACTTCACAATGACTATTTCAAAGCTCCTTCAGGCCTCCCCAAATCTCAGTGCTTCCCTCAAACCTCACTCTCACTAGGAGCTCTTGTTTCCTAAGTTACTGATACATCTTGAGTCATCCACTCACACTCCCCCGCCCTCCTGACACCAAGTACAAAACTTCCTCCATAGGCACATGTCTTATCCACATCCTCCCCCGAAGGGCCAGATGTGGTGTTTCTCCTCCTGTCAACGGCTGTTCTGTCCACCTCTATTAGGAACGCTTCCATTCGGCCCTTCCCAGGATCTAAACAATACAGTTTTCCCCTCTCTTCTGTGCATTCAGTGCTGACTGGAGGCTGTCCATTGACTCTGAACCACGCTCAACTCTTTCCCATTAAAACAACAGCAAAACTAAATCACTTTATTCAGTCCTCCTTCTTCTACCCATTGCTGTCTCTCTCCTGCCCTTCAGAGCCAAAATTCCCAAAGGAGTTGTCCATCCTTCTGTCTTTACATGGTCACTGCCCACTTACTCTTTTTTTTTATATATAAATTTATTTATTTTATTTATTTTTGGCTGTGTTGGGTCTTCGTTGTTGTGCGTGGGCTTTTCTCTAGTTGCGGCGAGCAGGGGCTACTCTTCATTGCGGTGAGCGGGCCTCATTGTGGTGGCTTCTCTTGTTGCGGAGCACGGGCTCTAGGCACGCGGGCTCAGCAGTTGTGGCACATGGGCTTCAGCAATTGTGGCTTGCAGGCTCTAGAGCGGAGGCTCAGTAGTTGTGGCACACGGGCTTAGCTGCTCCGCAGCATGTGGGATCTTCCCGGACCTAGGGCTCAAACCCGTGTGCCCTGCATTGGCAGGCAGATTCTTAACCACTGCGCCACCAGGGAAGCCCCATTGCCCACTTATTCTTAACCTCCTCCACCATCTGCCTTCCAATCACTCCACTCCACAAAGCGGCTCTCTCACGTTACCAATGACCTTCACGTTGCTCAACACAATGAGCAGTTTTCAGTCACGCCTCGCTTGGCCTCTCAACAGCATTTGATGCTCTTGAACAGTCCCTTCATCTGAAGGCACTCTCTTCCCTTTCGTGATACAGCATCGTCCTGTTGTCCTCCTGCCCCTCTGCCTCCTTTGCAGGTTCACCCTCCTCTACAAGGGCTTTAAGCTTTCGAGAATCGCTAAACTCAAGGCTAGCCCCTCTCCTCTTGCCACCCTCCGCTTTCTCCCTCAGCACTGTCATTACCACCTCAGTGCAGGTGACGCAGGAATGTGTATCTCAAGCCAGCTCTGTCCTTGCCTGTTTGTCAATAATACCTCAAACTCAGTAAGTCCAAAATTAAAGCCATGGTTTTCTTGTTGGTTCTTGGTTCCCTGACTCATAAATGGGCCATCAGGCATCCAGTTGCATAATTAGAAACAAAAGCTTATGCTTCACCCGTCGTCCTCTCTTCCTTGTCATCCCATCCCCGTGACTCTCAAATCCCTTCACTGCCCCCCCCCTCCACCAACACACCATACTCCAAATAGCCATCATCTCCCACCTGCACTACTCCACCTGCCTCCCAACTGGCTCCTCCTCTCTACTCCAGGCGCCTGGACTCTGTCTTCCACACTGTAGCCAAAGTGTCTTGTAAACACAAATTTTGTCATGACGCCCCTTCCACGAAACTCCTCGTCGCTTTAAAGATAATATCAAGGACTTCCCTGATGGTGCAGTGGTTAGCAGTCTGCCTGGCAATGCAGGGGACACAGGTTCGAGCCCTGGTCCGGGAAGACCCCACATGCCATGGAGCAACTAAGCCCGTGCGCCACAACTACTGAGGCTGCGCTCTAGAGCCCGTGAGCCGCAACTACTGAGCTCGTGCGCCACAACTACTGAGGCTGCGCTCTAGAGCCTGTGAGCCACAACTACTGAGCCCGCATGCCACAACTACTGAGCCTGCGTTCTAGAGCCCATGTGCCACAACTACGGAAGCCAGCATGCCTAGAGCCCGTGTTCTGCAACAAGAGAAGCCACCGCAACGAGAAGCCCGTGCACGGCAACAGAGAGTAGCCCCCGTTCACTGCAACTAGAGAAAAGCCCGTGCACAGCAACAAAGACCCAACGCAGCCAAAAATAAATAAATAGATACATTAATTAAAAATATATATATATATACATATATATATATAACATCAAAACTCCTTAACACAGTCCACACATTCTTTGGCCTGACCCTTCCTTCCACCCGAAGTTCATCATGCGCCATGGTCCTCCCCACTGCTCCACTTCCAGGCACCTTGCCCTCCTTCCACCCTTCACTCTCCCCAAGTTCCTTCCTATAATAAGCCTTTGCATGTGCTGGTCCCTCCACCCTCTTTCCTTTCATCCCCTGGTTCACTTTTACTCCTGCCTTAGACCTCACAGCAAATGCCAGTCCCTGCGGCCCCTCATGAGGCCAAAGCCCCTACGTACTTCTCCTCCCTGTAACGCTTGCCAAGATTACACACTTGCATTTGGTTCATTAATATGCAACCAATTCCACTACTATAAGCTCCCCTAGGGCAAGGATAAGCCTGGTTTTAGCTGCACTGCATCCCCAGCATCCAGCACGGTGCCTGCCCTCAGAGGATCCTGGGATAAGCAACCCTACGCACTGGCAGAGATGGTGGATTCTGCAGTCAGACTGCCTGGGTTCAAACCTGACCCCTGCGCCTTGCTGACTTGACATCTTGAGTAGGCCACGTAATGTCTCTGCACCTCAGTTTTCTTATCCACCTAATGAGAATGGGAATACCCATGCCACCTTCCTCAAAGGGTTGTTGTGAGGGCTAAATGAGCTGATGTGAGCAAAGTGATTAGAAGGGTCCCAGCTAGAAAGTAAACTAAGTTCTCAAGGAATGGTGGCGGTTAGAATGATTATTACTCACGGAGTGAGCAAACAAAACGGTGGATTGCCCTGCCAACTGAATACTTCCAAGTATCTTTAGCACTCTTTTATCATCTCTAGCCTGAGGCGTCTTACTATCACCTTCTATTCGGGAAAATGGTCACAGACCATGCCGGAAAACCAAAACTAGAATGACACAACTCCATCTTATTAATTCAACAGTCTTTACTGTTCCTATAGCTACCGGAGCCCCATGAGTATTTTTTTAACTTTAATTTCATAAGCATATATTTCATGCTATTACTTTGACATCTGAGAAGAATTGAAGAAACCTCACCTGAGAATTGGAACGTTTTGTGCCATGAAAGATCTCATGCGGGTGAAATGTGCCCTCCTTTCAATGATGAGAAAAGTCACTGACAAAGTTCAAATGACCACAACGGTGAGGAGCAGAGCCCAGCCCACACCTGAGAGCCTGACTCAGGCCCCTCTGCTCTACTCTGCTAGGCTGAAACGTGCAGGCTTGCAAAATTGTTTGGGGCAGCACAGAACTTCACATATTTTCCAGCACACACTGCAGATTAAATACTTCAGGCAAAATCACTTTACTAACAATTTCTATTTCACTACAATCTTTTTTGCTTTAAGAAAATATCAGATTTCAGGTCTTTAGAAGCAATCTATACAAGTTTAAGATAACTATGAAGAGAAAGCAGTGTTATCAGCAAACAAAATTTTAAAGGAACATACAAGTTTCTTCACTTACTGCTTTATCTCCCAGAGCTGTTCTGAGACTAAGTCTCACTTTAAAAGCATTTTCTGCATCTGCCAGAGAGAGAAAAGACAGAGAGCACTATATGATGATAAAATCTGCCAAAATGGAACCTGATAGATGCTAATATTTAATGCAACTCGAATCAAAAGAATTGCAAGTAAACTGCCCCAGATACTTCCGGAAGTTTAACTGCAATCATCTTAAATGGCTGAAATTTTAATTTCAAACTCATAAAACATTCACAGGCTCAACTTTCAAGCCATGACACGACGGCAGATTTAGAAAAATAAAGAAGTCTTTCAGGCAGAGACTTGTCAATCATTTAGAAAACTGTTCATCTATTTTGAAGTTTCAAGGCTTACGTACCTGGCTGACAGAGTTCGGCATGAATAGCACTCACTAGAAAAAAGAGCAGCCACAACATTCTTTCAAAGTGGAAAACACAAGACAAACGGAGGGGAAAAAAATCCACCCTTCGCTTAAAGCTGCCTTAGCCATTCTGTGACCCGGATTAGAATATCAGACAAACAAGCAAGCCACCAACTAAAAGGTTTAATGATTAACCCCCATCATCTGGGTTAATACTTTTGAGAGAAGCAGCCCATCTCCTGTCAGTTATTTACGAAAATCTGTTTGGAAAACAGATTAGCTGTCCTTTCCAAATTCTACCTCTAAAGAATGTTTTCTCTGCTGACCCAAAAGTCGGAATCCTCCCCCCACCTTTCTTCTGTTGTTGTCTGGTTAAATGCACAGTGGAAAGCATTAGTCCTTTCTGGAGGTTTACCTTGGCATGAACGTCCCATCTTTTCAGGGCTGAAATATCTCTGGCGTATAGATAGACTCTCTTAATTTAGGAAACAAACATCACTCCTTTCTATCTCTGGTGAACAAAGGACACCCTTCCAAGACTGGCCTCATTAGACTCTCACCTCCACAGGTAAACATTCAGGAGAGTTTCCACCTCAAAGAGAATGGTTTTGCTCAGCGCTAAGCTCTGGTAGCTGTGTAAAATCAAAAGTTAATGATGTACAGCAGTGCGATCCAATGGAACATTCTGTGATGATGGAAATGTTCTATATCTGCACTATACACTATGTATACAATACGGACGCCACTAGGCATCGGTGGCTGTTGAGCACTTGAAATGGGGCCAGTGCTGCTGAGAAAATGAACTTTTACTAAGTTAATTTAATTTAAGTAGAAACATGTGGCTAAGCAACTACATTGCTCAGTGCAGCTACACGACAGTAATTAGGAGCTACCGACCATGAACTAGCTTTGCTGAATTATTCCTCTAATCCTCAAAACAGCAGCCCACAGTTGCTGTGGTATAATCATCTTACACATGAGGAAACCGAGGATCCAGTATTTAAGGCATTGCTGGCAACAGGGAGTGGAATGGGTGTCACTTTACCAGCCTGGATGACTTACACTTGAACCCTATCTCCACCACACTGAACCCGACTGTGTCTCAGGGTCATCACTGATCAAAACTGAAATAGTAACGAAACCTCAGAGATGCTCTGAGGACTACGGCAGTGAGTGGAGAAGAACCTTTCCCCTAGTGGGCATTCTACAGGTGCCGATCAAGCCCCCCAGCGGGTCAGTGTCAGGACTTTCCTCTCTACCATGCTGCCTCTGCATGTGTTCAGTCCCCACATTCCACCTCGTTGCTTGAAAACCATGAATGGAAAAATTAGATCGGGTGACCCGGCTGTTAAACGGACAATCTGGATTTTTAAAGCAGCAACAAGAAAAATATCAACAGCTACACTTCTCATTTCCCCTTCCTGGTTAGGGTGACAGCTTATCGTAGATGACCCACTGCTGTTGGCTAACTCCACTTAAGAGCTTTTCCTCATCTCCTTCACCTTGGTTGCCGGGGCACAGAGTCAGGAAAAGTTGTACTAGAGAGAGAAGTGGCCAAAAGTTAGCCTAGTAGTCATTCCAGAAATTTCACTATTAGATGAAATGGAAATTTCCTAGAAGGAAGGGCCCGCATAACTGACCCCTGAAAATAGTCAGACTAGATGAAGTTATCTTAGGAAATGTTAGACTAGATAAACGCATCCTGGGGGCGGGGAGGGAATAGACAGAGACATAACAAAGCTGATTATTTGCATCAAGGAACAAAGCTGTGTTAGCGAGATAGAAATCTGATTCAGCCTTCTTTTCGCCTTAAAACTTCATAAATATATCAAATGTCTCTCTTCTGCTTTTACTTAGTCACTTATGTGACGAGGCTTGAAGACAGTAAAATGCCGAGTTTTTGTCAGTGTAAGCCACTCATTTGAAAAAAGAAGAAAATCTCTTCTCTCCTGAATTATGATTTCTCAATGTTCGTTGTCTCATTTTTAAAAACAATAGAAAAAAGAATAGAAGTTCTGTACAGAAAATACAGAGAGGCAAAAAGAGAAAAGTACTAAATACCCATACTACTACCCGCATGGACGACCAATGTGAATATATTTTAATAGTTGAAACACACCTTCCGTAGCCTTGGATCTTCTTGTATGTTCTCGTGTGATGTTATTGTTGTTTTGTCTCACTGTAGTGGCCCTATGGGAACAGGGAAACATCACGGTGGCAATCACATGGGCCCTCCACGGGATCTGATGAGTCGCTTTATTTTCATTTATTTATTTATGCATACATGCATGCATGCATGCCGCGCTGTCTGGCTTGCGGAATCTTACTTCCCCGACCAGGGATCGAACCCGTGCCCTTGGCAATGAAAGCGCGGAGTCCTAACCACTGGATGGTCAGGGAATTCCCTGGTGAGTCACTTTAAAATTGATAGATCATGAGATATATCAAATTTATTTTATTCCTAGTTTACTGAAAATTCCCTTTATTGAATTGTATTCAATAACCTATATTGAATTGTATCACCTGCCTTTTCAGTATCTATTATGATCCAAGAATTTTTACCACTTGGTACATTATAGTTTAAAATTTCTTTACACTGATCCAACCCTTAGATAAGCTCAGTTTGATGATTTCTAACATGCTTCTGGACTTAGTTGCTGTGTTTTTCTTTCTTTAGGTTTTTAAATCCATTTTTGTAGAAGAATATTTAGGTTCCTTTTCAAGCGCTGATTCTTTTCTCCAGCCCTCGTATTATTACCATGTTGAAAATGGTACAGATAGATTTCTAACATTGTCTATGTTTACAAATACTTGAAAATGTAGAAGAAATAAAATATTCAGAGTTGAAGATTCTGGACCATACATATTTCGGAGGAAGAGTTCTTTTAAATTTTTCTTATATTGCCAGTAATTTCAGGTTTCGTATTTCTTTCTGAGTCCCTTTTCGCTGTTTACAGTATCCAAGAAATGCATTCATTTCATTAAGATGTTCCAGTTTTCTCATGGACTTTATACAATATTTCCCATAAAATACTCCATTCACTGTTACATTCCCTTTATATTTTCTAGTTATATATTAATTTTTTCTCATTCTCCCTTTGTTCTTTCCAGAAATTTACCTATTTTTGTTGTTGTTTAATCAAACAACAAGATCTTGCATTTAATTTTTAATTCCTTTCTTTCTGCTTTCTGATTCATCCATCTTTACATTTATTAAGTCTTTACTCTTTCTGTCATACTGGTTTTCTTGTTCTTTTTATAACTCTTGAGTTGGCTACTAGGCTTATTTATTTTTAATCTTTCTCAGTTAATGTGAAAATATCTGTGGCTATGAATTTTCCTTGGACTACTGTTCTGGCCACATGACATAAGAAGTACAGATGTACAGTGATCTCATTCTATTTTCTAAATAGTCTATAGTTACAGTTTTATTTTTCTATACCCCAGTATTTGCTTAGAAGAGTACTTGTCATTAGCTAAAGAAACAGCAGCCAAAAATGAAATGATTTAAAATATTGACTTTTATAGGTCCTGTCAGATGAATAGAGAGAGAAAATGTATAATGATAAAATAAGACACCGTCAATAACTTGACGTAAAATATGAAGACTCTTACAAGGTCTGGATCACTTGGAACATGCTAAAAATGATTTAACAACTAAAGAGCTTGAGAGTTCAATAAAAGACGTGGAACTAGATGCTATTGTTCTTGCCTCTCAACATATCGGGTTTTTTTCTTCCACTTTTCAAAATCCTGTACATACTTAGCCTTTATTTTCATGCACAATTTTAAGTATTAAACCTCCAGAGAATTCATATCAAACTTGCTTCATACAATGCTCATTTCAGCAATTTCACAAATAGGAGCTTAATAATTTATCAGTAACAGTGGTAATGATGGCAAATAAAGCATTTTCAATCATTCTGAATATGGTCCTATTTACTGCCAATATTTAGAGTTTAGAGAACGCAGATAAAAAATTGAGACTACTGTAGCCGTGAGCAATATGAAAGGCACTGAGTCTCCTGAGACAGGAAAGAGAAATTGATTTCTCTGTGCTTTTTTGTACTCCACAACACTACTGGAAAGCAGTTTCTTGGCACATAACTATTGATCTACTGCTCTGGAGGGTGAATTAAATATGAGACCACACGAAAAGAAAACACGTGAGTTGTTCTTTTGATTCACACAAGATGCCTTTTAAAGTACATCAGAGCTGTAAACGCATGTGGGGGATTATGTATGCTCCATTTACCTGCAATAAAACAAGATGTAGCAGGGAGAACCAATGTAGCTTTTAAATTTTGAAGCTGATTGTTCTGTTTCACTGTCACAAACAGGTATTTTGTAAACCTATACAACCTTGAACACTGTGAGCTTTCATTTTTTAATCTTTAAACATCTTAACCACTATTACAGGTCTATCTCAATGATCACCTCCTTCGAGGAATCTTTCTTTTCTTTTCTTTTTGTTATAGATTTTTAGCTGTTACTATTTGCTGTGGACTTGTCTAATCTACTAACTTTTTATTCTCTCTTTGTCCTATGTTCCCATAGCATTTTGTTCACATTTGTACATGGATCTATTGCCAACATGATTTGCTTTTGGGTCCTACAAATTTTAAGCTCCTGGAGGGCAGGGACTATATTTGGTTCCATTTGCATTTCTCACGGCCCATGA